GCTTTTAATCACTAAGCCGTCTCTCCAGCCCAAGCTCAAGGATTTTTTAATGCAGGAATCTGTGACCTATAACATTAGCCTAATAGTGTATAGTGTAGATGTCAGATTCAAAGTTGAAATTGTAGTCTACAGATGATAACTTGATTATAGAAGACAGTCTTAGCATTTATTAGGATTTCTTTAGGATTTATTAGGAAGTCTGATAATTATTTTTGAAAATAATTGATATAGATGCTTAAAGCATATAGAATTTTCACTCAAATCTTGGATTACCAGCTTGAACATATTTCTTTTCAGAGAATGGTTTGCTGAAGGAAGCTAAAGCAGAAGAATCATAAATTTGAGGCCAGCCTTGACTGTGTAGCAGGACTTTATGTCAGAGCTCTAAAGCGACACTGATTCCTAACTAGTGCTCTGGTCTTAGTCATTAAAGAGAGACATTGTCTTCTGAGCTTACTTGACCCTTCTGCTTGCTCACTCTCCAGTTTCATTTCACTTTCTGTTGGGAAGATTTTTCTTTTCTCTGAAAGGTTCCTTATTGTTTTGTTCTTTGCCCCAGTGCTAAGAATAGAACCTAGGGTTTTTTGTATGCTCCCTAAGCTACATCTCCAGCCATGCTCCCCTTTGGGAGATCTTTATCTTGAGAAAGAGTCTTGCTAAGTTGAATAGGCTGGCCTGTGGTTTGTCGTTGTCCTGCCTCGGGGCCTCGCATAAGGTTGGGTTGTGGTGTGCTACCACACTCAGCTCTCCATTTTGTGTCATTTTGTTTTTGAGATCAATTTATTTTTAAGACTTTTATTGTTATAACAACTTGCCATCTCCTCTTTAGCTGCTTCCCTCTTTGGTCTTCATGTCTGCCTCTCATCCTGTCTTTCTTTTGAGGCATTCATAACTTCTTCAAGATGACAGTTCTACACTTGTTGGGTGTCAGGACCAAGAATAGATGGTACGACACACATAGACCACCCTCCCTGCTGCAAACTCACATAACCGGCAGATTTCCCAGGTCCTTTCTGGGTGTTGCTTATCATCTCATCTTTCTTCACGTTCTGCCGTTGCCTTCTGCCTCTTAGAACCACTTATATATGTTTTGCCTCTGTGGGGTGTGTGTGTGTGTGTGTGTGTGTGTGTGTACATACATGCTCGGTCCCTGCAAAGGTCAGTAGAGTGTGTCAGCTCTCCTGGAACTGGAGTTATAGATGACTGTGAGACACCATGTGGATGCTGAGACCCAAACTCAGGTCCTCTGGAAGAGTAGTCAGTGCTTCTGCTTAGTTGCAGAAGTGCTGAACCAATTCTACCTACCCTCCTTTTACAGTTCTTGATTGTATTGTGAGAATGCATCTCTCTTTTCTTTAATAATTATTGTTTTTCCCTTCCAGTTTTGTTTTTGGTTTTGGTTTTTTGATTTTTTGAGACAGGGTTTCTCTGTGTAGTCCTGACTGTCCTGGAACTCACTCTGTAGACCAGGCTGGCCTCGAACTCAGAAATCCGCCTGCCTCTGCCTCCCAAGTGCTGGGATTAAAGGTGTGCGCCACCACTGCCCGGCCCCTTCCAGTTTTTTATTTGTTTGTATTTCATACTTCTTTCTTTGACCAGTTCTTAGTTACTTTTTTCTTACTCAATTAAGGGAGTTACTTGCTTTGAAGTTATCTTTTTCTTTGCTTGTTGTTTAATTTTTGTGTAGTGCTGAAGTTAGAACACAGGGCTTTGAATATGCTGTGTAAACATCCTTATATTGAGCCACATGTGAAGCACATGTGAAGCTCAGAGCACTGCACACAGATGCACCTCTCTCTCATACACACACACAAACATTAAATAAAAGAAAAAAATCATTTGATTAAGGTTTTTGCTAACTTCTCAGCAAACAGGATAGCTGGTGTTTCTGGAAAGAATTGCCTGTTTCTACTTTTGGTGTTTCTCTTGTGCTCTTCTCAGAGGCTCATACCTCACACAAAGCCTTGTGGGTGCTCTCATGTGACCACAAGGAAGCTGAGTATATGCACCGGTGACAGCTGCTCCTGAAGAGCCCAATCAGGCTAGAGTGACTTTTCAAATAGTCCCTAAAGGAACCTCCAGGAACACTGATATGGCCTATCTTATGTCTGTGCTTTTTGTACAAATCTTTTTTGTGTAAATTAGAAAAGGGAAATGCATGCTTACTATAGAAAAAAACATTGAGGGAATTATGAGCTCTCATAATTCCTATACAGAGACAGATAGTAGTTAATGGGTTGGTATTGTCTTTCTGATCTTTTTTTTAATTTTTGAGACAAGGCTTCATAATCTAGCCAAGCTAGGCTAGAACTCACTATACCACCCAGTCTGGCCTTGAACTCTCAGCAATCCTACCTCAGCTAAGGGCATGTGCCTGGATTAATTTTTAAAAATTGGCTCGTTTATTGTATAAGTCAAAGAACTTCCCTGCTGATCATTTCTATCTTACTGAAACCATTCACTTTAGTCTGTGCAAGGACCCTTCCTTTGGTCTTTCTTAGTCTTACTGGAAATTAAGTACAACGGCTTCTCTGAATAAGTTCTTACCAATATCCCTTGGGACTAAGTAAGAGGAGCCATTCAATACTATGATGCATCTTTGCTTATAGCAGCCTTCCCCGGAGTGTGCTATCCTGTGTCTGTGTGGCTGTCATAGCTATCTTCACATGCTGTAATTCTATAAGGCTTTAAAATTAATTATTCAGCTTTGAGTCAAGAATGATGCTCAGACCAGCCTTCTCTGTCCTTTTTATCTGCAGTTTCGTGATGGTTGATCTGTTATTGCTTTACTGTGTACATCGTTGAAAACCCAAGGCTGCTTTTCTAGAACTTTATTCCTTCAGAAGGTCATCAATGTCATATACAAGTTTCTGTGATAATTTTAAACCTAATAGCAAGGTGTACTACATGCGCCTATAATCTCAGCACTCAGGAGCTAAGAGGATTGTGAGTTTAAGGCTACCTAGTGAAAACCTGTCCCACAAAGCAAAATTAAAAACAATGTAAAAACGATTACACACATACATGTATAACTTGGATTGTTCATGTAACTAATGGCTACTATATTGGATACCACTGCTCCAGATTACTCCAGCTCCTCTCCTGAACAGGATAGTTTGTTTCTTTTGGTGTGTGTATTTATAAGGCTCTGCCTCAACCTCTGCTTTGCCTTGATAGCTGGGTAAGTGGTAGGTCAAGAAGAATGGTATTTTTTTTTCTTAATGTTGGGAATCAAACCCAGGGCCTTGAACATTCTAAGGCTGGTGCTCTACTGCAGAGCTATACCTCTGGCTCATGGAAGAACTATTTCTTTTTTTTTTTTTTTTTTGGTTTTTCGAGACAGGGTTTCTCTATGTAGTCCTGGCTGTCCTGGGACTCACTCTGTAGACCAGGCTGGCCTTGAACTCAGAAATCCACCTGCCTCTGCCTCCCAAGTGCTGGGATTAAAGGCGTGCGCCACCACCGCCCGGCTGGAAGAACTATTTCTAAGACTAGCTTGAACAGTTAGATATCTAGAGGGGCAGTGTTGAGAAAGATGATTAGCAACTCCATGCCTTCTGAAAGCTATTGGGAAGATGGATACATGTGCCATTATATAACAGTCTAATAAGAGAGCCTTTGAGGGGATGGCTTGTACTTCATGAACAATCAAGTTAGAAGGGTTTTCTCTCTCTTTTTTTTTCCCTCAAATATATCACCTGTTCCCTTTCTGTACTCTTACACTGTACGTTTTCAACCCTGGCATCTTAAACACTGCAGCAATGCCTCTGAATCATTCCATTGATTCCCTCAAGAATTACCATCATATAATCCCCATTTAGAAGCATGGTGAATTTCATTTGGAGTTTTTAGATATGGTATGCTTCTTAAATGCTGTGGTGACTTTCCCCACTTCTTACTGGCTATTTTGTAAGATATAATTAATATGACAACCTATTAAGAACTCTATTCGGTTTTTCTTTCCTTCAGAAACATTGGGTTTTAGGGGTGGGGAAATGTCATTGGTTTTTTTTTTTTTTTATGTCTGTTTGTGTGAGCCTATGTGCAATGTGCAGTGGCCACAGAGGCCAGAAGAAGGCATCAGATCCCTTGGACCCGGGCTTAACTGGTGGTTGTGAGTCAACCTAACCTGGATCAAATATCTCTCCAGCCCGCAACATTGCTTTTCTTTTTTCTTTTTTTTTTTTTTAAAAAGATTCATTATTTTTATTTATATACATGTGTGTGTGGGTGTGTGCACATGTGTGGAGGTGCCTGCAGAAGCTAGAAGTTTTGGATTCCCTAGAACAGGAATTACAAGTAGCTGTGAGCTTCCCCATGTGAATGCCAGAACTGAACTCACATTCTCTGCAAGAGCAGTGTGCACTCTTGTTTTCAAGACAGTGTTTATCTGTGTAGCCCTGGCTGTTCTGCAACTTACTCTGTAGACAAGACTGGCCTCAAACTCAGAGATCCACCTCTGCCTGGAGTGCAGGGATTAAAGATATGCCCAGCACAGTGCTCACTCTTAACTGGCTAGTCATCCCCCAACATTGCTTTTCTTAAGAAATCTAACAACAGTTAGATTTGAAGTTTTCATTTTTGGCTTTGGTTTCTTACTGTTTCTTCTAGATCTGGAAACCATTTTTCCGTCTTCCATCCCTTTCAGGGTGGCCTCCAATATCTTCCCTTCCAGGTTTCTTCCCTTCCAAGTGCTTCCTCTGTGTGTTTAACTTTAGAGCATGGTTCATGGTTCACTGTGAACCTACACGTTACTGCTTTCTTTCCACAGAAGGCGTGACACAAGATTTGCTGGGTAACAAGACTTATCTTCATGTTAATCTCACCTCTGAAAATATAGTCTGCAGTAGCATATTAAACACCCACTCCCTCTCCAAACTTCAATGAGAATCATTTTAGTTTATGACAACCAGGAGGCTACACGTACACTACTTTCACTGTGAACTAAATTTACTGCACATTTGGGGAAACTGACTGTGTTTTCTGACTTCTATTGACAGAATGGCACACGAAACTTCCAGGACTTTGACTGTCAGGTAAGGACTGTACCAGCACCAAAGAAGCTCTGTACAGGATCTAACAGTGCCTTCCTCCCCACACTGGGGTCTTAGAAAATCGGATCTTGTATTGCTATTGTTTGTATTTTGTTTTGTTTTGTTCAAGTAGGGACTGTAGACCAGGTTGACCTTGAACTTATGACAGTGCCTCCTGATTCAGCTTCCTGAGTTCTGGGCTTACAGGCATGCGCCACCACCCCTAGCTAGAAGTCCATTCATCATAGCTAATCATGAGAACTCACTAGTGTTCTTTTAGTCATTGGAGCAAGTTTATTTAAAATGATTTGCTATCATATTCAAAAAGTGTCTTCTAGGAACCTGTCTAACGACTGTAGGTTACTTGGTTGAGCTGTGTCTTTGTGACTGAGATCTCTATTCTTTGGAGACCTCAGTTGTCACAAGTGGTAAATGGAAGGTTGTCACTAGACTCAGATAAAACAGATGGCAGGCAGTTTATAGAAGAGACATCTTAATAGCAAAATTGCTTCCTAAACCAGAGATCAAATAATTATTAATACAAAATGAAGATTTTTCTTGGCTTTATGTCTGGAAATGTAAATTTTATCCTGGCTCAGTATTTTCCCACATGGTACTGTTCTTCATAATCTACTATTGCCAATTAGAAAATCAGTAAAATGAGCCAGCCATTCTCTACCCACCTACTTTATCTGTTAACTAGCCCTGAAAGAAATCTAAGAAAGGAACACATGGATATATAGGGAACCTTCTAAGCCCACACAGCCTGACTCTCTCACTCTGGGATTGCTGCCATAGCTACAACATGAAGCTGACTTAAAGGATATTGGCAGAGAAGGATAGCTCTTCAGACTGCACTCCTTGTTTCCAGTGTTCGGCCATCTTGCATATCCATCAGGAAAGAATTGCCTCCAATATGCGCCTCATGTTAAGTACAGTCTTTATAGCATTAGCATCAAAGGCAAAAACCAGTCTAGTCAATCCTTGTATAGAGAAATTAAAAAAAAAAGCTTTTATATTGGCAAACTAGTTCTATCACAATTATTGGCCCCCTATGATAAGGTATCTATTGGATATGATCTTTGAAATGTATGTTTTAGAGAAGCAAAACAATATTATAGGTTTTTATTCTTCTTAATATCTGAGTGAAGACATCGAATGATTGGAACAGAAAAACCGGCTCCTCCTGAATGTATTGCTTATTTTTTTTCCTGGATAAGTCTAGAACTAGCATTTAAGGAATCCACTTGTCCTTAAAGCTGACATTCGGCAGGTTAGATGAGGCTTGCTGTGCAAGAGCAGGCTGGTAGTGTTGTCCTTGAGTCCCAGTTCCAGCTGGTCATTTCTGACAGAATCAGCCCAGTGTGCTTGGGGGTCATTTACTCATACTTAAAAAGTCTTTAGAACTTTTGATACTCTGTGACAGTGGGACAGTCAAGATTGAGTTTAGCTGTTTTTAATTTAATCTGACATTAGTTATAGTTTGGGTCCTAGTTGGATCAGTTGGAGTTGATTGCTTTTGACATGATTTACCAAGAAGGAGATCACTGAGATAGAGTGACAGGAGGACTCAGCATAAGGTACATCAGTGATGTAAGGTACATCAGAAATAGTATGCACGCACTCCTCTCTGAAAGCACTTGTTTTCATCAGATACCAGGAGGTTAGTAGATTTAAGCCGTCTATTTTTTTCTGCTTTACCATGTGTGCTTGCTTCCTTGCTTGCTTACTTGCCTGTGTGTCCAGGGCCTTGCTCATGCTAGGAAAGTATTCTTTTTTAATATCTAAGTATAGATTTAGTCTAGCAAGGGCCAGTGAAATGGCCCAGTGGGTAAAGCGGCTTACAATGTAAGCCTTATAACTTGAGCTCAATCCCTGGAACCTGCATAAGGTACAGGGAAAGACCAACTCCATAAATCTGTCCTCTGACCTTCACGTGTATGCTGTGGTGTACATATACAAATGCAAGGCACACATGATACTACTCTAGCAAGGGACCAACGAGATGTTTCAGTGGGTAAAGGCTTACTACATAAGCCTAATAATCTGAGTTCAATCTCAAAAACCCTCTTTAAAAAAAAAAAAAAAGCCACATGTAGGGGCTTGAGAGATAGCTCAGTGGTTAAGTAGTTCAATTTCCAGCAACCACATGGTGGCTCACAACCATCTGTAATGGGATCCGATGCCCTCTTCTGGTGTGTCTAAGGACAGCTACAGTGTACTCATAAATTAAGAAAAAAAAAAAGCCACATGCAGTCACCAAGATGGCTTAGCAGATAAAGGTGCTTGCTGCCAAAGCTGACAACCTGAGTTTGATTCCTAGAACCCACAGGATAGCAGGAGAGACTAAACTCTCACAGATTGTCTTCTAACTGGGCATGTCTAGTCCCACCCCACTCCAGTAAATAAATATAATAAAAGTTTTAGGAAGAAACCCTAGATGCAATGGTATGTATCTATAATCTCATCACTCCTACAGGGAGATAGGAGGCAGAGACAAGAGACTCTCCTAGAAGGCCACAGTCTAGTTAGCCTAGAGTATAGAGTATAGCAAAAACAAGAAAAACCATGCTTCAGCAAGGTGGAAGGAGAGAATCAACTCCTTAACGACTGTCCTTTGATTTCCACAAGTACACTGTGCAATGGACACATCCCCACAACAATAATAACAATGACTACTACTACTATTGTGGTTGTTGTTATTTTAAATTGGAGCTATGATGTAATACAGTGGTAGAGCTCTTGCCTGGCATGTGTGAGCCTGGGTTCAATACCCAGCCCTGAAAGTCAACAACAAAAAACTATATTCCTGATTTTCTTTCTTTTATAAAGTCCTGTACTGTTATGCTAAGGTGTGCCTTTCTTTGGAACCTTCATATGACATACCTTCTTTTGGAATATATCAGGTTGAACCTTATTTTCACCAGTGTAGATATACAGTGGTTTTTTATTTCTCTCCTTTTAGTGCTGCTAAAAATAATTGGTCTTGCATAAAAAAGAGCCTACCCCAAAGTGCTGATACTTTAAGTGAAGCCTCATTATCTTCTGGCATTGTGAAATACAACTCTAGGTTGGATAGAAATAGAACGATGGGAGGTGCTTGTGACTGTCGCCTGTTTGACACTAGTCTTGGATATGTGCATTCTCTGTGTTGAAAGAAAAACTGGGAGACAGAGGCAGGTGGATTTCTGAGTTCAGGGCCAGCCTGATCTACAGAGTGAGTTCCAGGACACCAGGGCTACACAGAGAAACCTTGTCTCGAAAAACCAAAAGAAAAAAAAAAAGGAAAAGTAAAACTGACTAGGGATGTAGCTCAGTGGTAGAGTGCTTGCCTAGTGTGTATAAGACCTCAGGTTCAAGGCTCAGTCTTCGGCACTGAATAAATATTAGTGGATAGTAAGAAGCTCTTATCTGGCAGTATATATCATCTCTGTAGAAGAAGCTGATAATGAATCCAGGCTTGGCCAAGGATTGAATAATTTCATGTTGTTTGTTTAATTGCAGTTGCTCTGTAGAGGACCCATTTGAGGACCAGATATTATCACTACAGCGCAAATCAGTATACATGATTGGTGAATGAATGGCTTGCTACCAAATAAGAATTAAATTGATGGCAAGGGATGGGGGGTCCTTACAGAAAAAGCTAAATTCAAAAACAAACAAAAATCACAAACTGCCATCTGCCTATACATACACTCTGTAAGTAGAGGGTTTATTCCGCCAATAGACAAGATCATGTCACATGCATGATGGCTACCAACTTTTCAGACTTACAGCGAAGAGCCACCGTGCTAAGAAAAGACCTTTCCTGTAGCACTGTGATGCATTTAGGGTGCTACTCAGTGGTAGAGCAATGGTCCCACACTAATCATGCACACTCCTGAGGCACAGTGTGCTGAGAGTGAGTCCTGGGGCCTTGGGCCGGGTTGGTTACATTCTTTCTCTCTCCTAATGGTCATCTAAGGCTGTGGAAAGAAGATACTAGAGTTGGTTCTGAAAGAGAAAAAGACTTTTAAGTTGCATATTGCAAAAAACATTCTTAGATGGAAAATGTGGCTGGTGGGAAGGCTGGAGGGTGTGAGTGGCTGTAGAGCAAACACTGGATGCCTGGAAGTGCTGTGTGAACTTGGGTGAAAGAGGGGAGACAGGAAACTTGACAGGGCAGAGGCTAAGTAAGTAATTGACTGTTTTTTTTTTTTTTTAATTTGGTTTGGTTTGGGGGAGTGTTTGTTTGTTTGTTTGTTTGTTTGAGACAGTGTTTCTCTGTGTAGCTCTGGCTGTCTTGGAATTCACCCTGTAGACCTTAGGCCTCAAACTCTTAGAAATCCACCTGCCTCTGCCTCTCCTAAGTACTAGGATTAAAGGTGTGTGCCATCACTGTCCCGGCCAGTTGGGTATTTTGCTGTGAGATTACACAAATTATCCTTATCCCTCTGTACAGTAGTATTGAATGGAACATTATACTCAAAAGCCCTATGTGTTGGGACTTTGAGTATAACTCAGAGGAAGTACAATTGCCTAGCAAGGACCTGAGTCACACACACACACACACACACACACACACTCCACAATTTCTACATAGCAGTGGAAGACTCATACTAAAACATGATAATAACATTTATTATCATGTTTAACATGATGAACATAACAATAAAAACTAACATTTCAACATTTCATACTAGCAAGAAAGTTACTAGAATGGAGAAGAAAAAGCACAGGCACTAAGTGATCATAATTTAGCTGGTATCACAGATAAAGGGCCAGTGATATGGTGACAGTACATTTAGCTAAAGGGAAAGGACATGAGAAAGTCCACAGTTGCTGACT